AATTGTTCTTGATCAAATCATTCCTGAGGAAAATGTTTCTTAAAAGGCTTCCAGTTTACGGCCAACAATTTTTCRTCTTAACGTTTAGTGGAGATGGCACAGAGTTATTTGGCTGTTCACAGAGTTTTGGGTTCTGAGTAGCGAGGATTAAACACCGCTGTTTGCATTAATTATTGAGTTTCTCAGGAATAGGGATTGAATTTGTTTGCACAAAAAACTCTGCAGAGGGAAGCTGACCAGTGAGGTAGCTTAACCTCCAGGTCTTTAAATAATCCCGGACAGCATCAGGGTCATTTCTGCTGGACTGAATCTAGCAGAACCAACCTGGGATTGTAATCTAAATCGTGCATAGAACAAAGAAGCAGATTACAGTCCCATTTATGGGTAATATTTTAGACATGTGAAGATGCACTTGAGTTGTTTTGACATCTCTCTGCAGGGTTTCTGCACGGACGGTGGTTAACTCTTTCAGCAGCATTTCCTTATATTAGAAAATGACTCAACTGTGTCACAATGATGATGGTGTGCGCCATCTATAGTTGTAGCCTGCAGCTATATTCAGAGAGGAAATAGATATCTGCAGAATGGGCACCAGCTCCTTTTAGTGCTGTACGCAAGTGCCAAATGTGATTAATGAGGTTCACACTGCAGAGAAAGAGGGGGGGGGGGGGGCATAAAATTCAAGAGCAAGACGTTTGTGTAATTTTGTGTTGTTCTGACAGAATCTTTAAACCATTGTGTTGCATACATGACAAAATAGCTGCCATTACTTTTAAAACTGGGGTCCAATCAAGTGTTATGGAAGAAAAACAATGCATTACTGAATAATTTTGCTCTCTTTCTAAACTTGATCACAATCATTGTTATAGTTAAGCTTTTTTGTTTGCATGCATGTGTGCTAACTGTCCAGATGACTAATCTTAACAGGTTTATATACAGTATATACATATGTGAGGAAGTATTTTCTATTACATTATTCAAGTTGTCACTTTAATGCATGCAGTAGGAAATAACTCAACAATACAAACACTGGGCTTCCATAAAAGATGAGCAGAAACACAAACCTCTCAGTTCCTCATTGTTTTGTACTTCTGTGAAAGGTACATCACACTCTTCTCACTCAGAACAGTTTCCATGTAGTCAGAGGTCCTTTTTAAAATAAAAGACGTATGATTTATTTGACTTATTTCTGGATTATTAAACATTTGATGAAAGACATCCCATGTACCAAAAGGTGAGCAAATGCTTGACTTCTATTTTATATAAATACATCACACATTTTAATTAAAAATGAATGTTTTTATTAGCCTTAGATTAACACTGAATATCTGGGTCGGTGCAAAAACAMAAATTATGCAGGGTAGATTCATGTTGATAACTTCAAGTTATGTGCCGTAACTTTCCAAACTATGTTAAAATTCAGCCCTGAATRACTAAAACCATAAAACAAAGTCATTCTGTAGCAGTTTAATATGTTTTTATGTTTTAAGATAATGTTTAGAAGCAAAAAACCCAAACTAATTACTTTAACAATCTACATATCTCACATTTGAGGATTTTAGGCAGCTATAAATATCAGTGTCAAAAGATTCTGCCTGATTTAACAAGTTTTTACACACATCATCAGAGACAAACATATTTAAAAGGTTACATATTGCAACTGAAGTAGGTTTAATATTTTCTGTGTTCAGCAGTTTAATGAGCTCATACACGTGTCATGACTTTCATAGAGTTAGCCGATTTTCACATATATAAAGTTTGTGAAGGTGGGTTTTATTTTCTTTTGGTGAAAGATAAATCTATGTTTAAAACAAAATCCAAATAATAAAGCCATCAAATTAAAATTTAGCAGGTTTGTGGCTTTAAAATGTGGCAGTGTCTGTGCTGAATATAGATACTTGTTGGGGCAGATATGTTTATTGTCTGCATCATAGTTTAACAGGTTTTATATGATACAGTTATTCAGAAATGGGTCTTAATTTTATATTTCATATACAGTATAGGGATGTAGCCTCATTCTTTGAAGAACAGGATCAGTTTCTTATTGTTGGCATGTTGGAAAGTTTGCTGATGTATCTGGATATGACTCAAACATCATTGGTCCAGAATGTTTTTGGTGTTAGAGTTAGACAATTAACAATATTTTTCATCCGGGCCTATCAGAGAACAGAAGGCAGAGTTTTGAACATTGTTGATTTTCTGCGCAGTGTCTGCTAGTTAGTTTAGCTATAGCAGTGGAGGAAGTGAATGAAGCCAGTCTGTGTTGATAAGACTTCCAAATTAAATTAAATTTGTCTGAGAAAGCAGCAGCATCATTTACAACCATCTCGTTCAGCTCGGTACTTCTCTCAGTAGGGTTGTTTACAGCACACGCAATTTCTGGTTAGCTTCTTAGCTTAGCCTCCTTCACAGTGTCATATGNGCAATTTCTGGTTAGCTTCTTAGCTTAGCCTCCTTCACAGTGTCATATGTCACGGCCAACCCATCCAATCATTTTAAACTTTAGCAGAGGCCACGCCTCCAGCAAGAATCACTTCTCTATAGCAGAGATTTCAGACCCTCATACGAAGCAAAGTGAAGGACCAGGGTCCGGTTTTAACCAGGCTAGAGCTAGTCCTGCACACTGGGATAAATTACACGAGTCTACAAGGTCAATGGTGCTTCCAGAGAAACACAAGTAGGTTTTCAATCAAAGATTCACTCTCAAATGAGGAAATGGTTTAGATTTGCAGAGATGCTGGATGTTTTGAGATTTTATTGCACCACATAAATCATTAAAAAATGGAATCAACCTCACTGCCATTCAACAGATTCACCGTCAGTAAAAATAATTAGCAGAGAGCAACAATCCACTTTGGTCTTGGTGCCACTTAGCATTTAGCTTGTCAGTCTGGTTAAAATWAAACTATTTCTCCAAACTGAGTTTGTTCAAAGAGCTATCTAACACAGGTTAGATGCTAACTACTCATAGCTTTTCCACATAACCCCACGTAAAAAGATTTGAACCCTCACTTAACATTTATCCATGTTTCTCCTTAAAGCATTAAAACTACCCAAAAACTGAAACCCACACAATAATCAACTTTTTCTGTACAATAAAATTTAGAACATCAAATCATCTTTTACCATGAGGAAATGAAGAGAGCACATAAGCAGACAAGCACGGGAAACAAACATTTCTTCTGACTTCCTCTCCTTACGCTTTATGATTTTATTTTAGTGTATCTGTGTTTCTATTGCTCCTGTTATAAGACTGATTTTTCCTTTATAGACTAAACTCCACAACCCCATGTGATGTCAACTTCAAGCTGAACATTTGTACAAACGTTTCAGTGAAGTCTTCATATTGATAGAGACCTGACTGCTCGTTCGTGTCKTTTGCCTTTTTTTTCTGGTAGCTGCTCTGCACCACTGCACCTGATCTTTAGGCTGTACGAGAGACTAGATGCATGTGACAAAGCCAGACAGGAAGAAGCATCGTACCTTACAGCGAAAAAACAAAAAWACGTTTCAGCATGAGCTGATAGACGTCAGTCTGGTCAAAGACGAGACACAGTTAACAAATGATGACAGAAAYAGGCTGATTTTTACTGAATGCATTGGCGGGTGAGTCACTTTAAAACTCTAAACATGAATTTAGTTTGAACTCAAAAACAGGAAGCTCATTGTTTTATGTTTTTTTTAATTAATTTATTTATTTTTGCACACAGCCATGACTTTTAAATGATTTAACTTCCTGAATTCGTAAAAGTAAACGCCTATACCTAAACAATATTTCTGTAGAAGGGTTTCTGCTGTATAGGTGTTGGATAAGTAAACATCAACACTTTGTGTTTTTGTATGAGTGTAAGGGAGGCTGATTACTTTTATTTTTCTCATGGCAGCCTGTCAGAGAGCCAGCCAGGAAGGCCCCCCTCCTCTCTGGTAATGCGGYCTATTGTGAGCATCTGCAGGGTGGATGTGCTGAGTATTAAGTTTGCGACGGATCTATTTAGGGAAACTTTGGAATGGAAAGTGTCCAAAGGAAATAATAATATTGTGAAAACAGAAGTACAAGGCATTGCTCCAGAATAAATGATGCCTCAGACCTTATTGTTGTTTTATTACTGGCATTCAATATGTGGTAATTAAAGACCTTTATTTTTTTTTCTTTCAAAAAGTCTTCCTGGGTACACTGGGCTGAAAATAGAATTGCCAGAATAACAGCAATATCAGGATGATAGAAATGATTAGGCTGCAAAGTACCACTTTGATCCACCAATTTTTGCCCGTTACGCTATCTCTCTGAAAAGTTATAATAATCAGTACAGTGGTGGACAAATTACTGATGCTACTGGTCAAACGTTACTCCAACAAAAGTGAAAGTAGCTCAGTACCGGACTATGTGCTTTCAAAAATACAGAAGTACTGTAAAAATTTTAAAATATTGAAGTTTTTAATTTATTTCACTTGAGTGTAGTCGAGAATGTAGCCATCATTGTTGCCAGCCCGATCAGAGCGTAATTGAGGATTATATCAATTTTAGTCAAAATGAGCTCAACACGTTTTTAGATTCCTGCCTTTTAAGATACATTTTTACATCTGGATCATTCTGTTATAAGCTGTTTTAGAGATATGATTTCATTTATCTTGTTTGTCACAATAATGCATTATTTTGGTCTGGATGATATTGTTATTTTCTACTCATTTTAAAAAAGGAAACCTCAAATTGTATTTGGATATTATGATTTAAACTTTGCTAACTTGCAGGGAAAATATACAAAATTGAAAGMGTTTTTGCTCAATATCTTTTTTGTTGTTGTTGCTGCTCAAAAAGTGATTCAAAATCTAATTAATTTTATCTTAGCTGTGGTAATTTACTAGATAAAAACAGAAGTTTTGAATGATGGATTGACTTGTCACTGGTTAAGCTGAAAACTGTTGATTGTGGTCTCCAGCTGAGGTTTTGGAGCATCCCCCTTTAAAACTGTATTTTTTTGTCTTTTCTTTTTTACAGGTGGCCAGTGTATGAAGGCTGCAGGCACTGAGGAGTGCAAACCCACGAATGCCATGTTGGACGAGTCGATACAAACAGAGCCTCTCCTCCAAGGAGGACATAGACACAGGCTCCAGTGATGATCTTCTCATCCTCACGCCACTGCAGCGAGCAACCCACACCTAAACCCYGGCCAGTGCACATGTGGATGGACCCGTCCAGCGAGCTCCAACACATTTTCTCCTCTGCCAGTCCCACTCATCAACTCACTGACAAAGTGTGGCGTCTCTCATCTATGAGAGCCCAAAGGGTGAAAGAGTTCTTCCATCTTAAGTGGTGTGAATGAGACTACATTTGTTGATTTCACTTAGCTGGTTTTTCATTTTCATGCACAGCCTCTTCATTTCACACCAGCACCACAGAGAGCGGGATAAAAAGTTAACTGGGACAGCAGAAAGCTCYAGGGAATAGATCATTAGATTGGAGTCACTTTCTCAGGCACAATGCAGTCCGATGACTTCTTCATCCGCAAGTTCCGCCGTCARAACGTGCGGCCRCCTATTGCCGCTGTCAATTTTGACCCCAAACGGGAGACAAGTGTGGTGGAGTGGCCCCCCAGGAGGGCTGGAGACGGTGCTGATGCAGACAGCCTCACTCCGAGCTGTGTGGGATTGACACTGAAGTCAGTGGGGCGGGGCCACATCATGCAGAGGAGTAACAGCGATGTGACTCTGGGAGACTTGGATTCCTCCGGGAAATCAATGGGGAAAATAGTCCGAATGGTCGGTAACAAAGTGGGCGTGGGGTCTCAGAGGGACTCAGGTGTGCTGCTGCACAGGGAATACGGCAGCCTGTCGTCGCTAGAGAGACAAAGTCAAGCCCAGGAKCCGAGTGCAGACGGCCAGGGGCCCTTGAGTCCAAACGCACTGCGCTTCAAAGACCCCTTTCTGCTTCTAGGATTGCACGAAAACCCTCCAGAGCCTGACAGCTTCTTTCGAGGTCTGTCTGCTTCTGCAGGAGACTCCCACAAACCGGATAAACCACCAAAGCCTGAAGGTCTGAGTAAAAAGTCTAAACCTACTCCCCCTCAGGTCCTTCAGCCAGGTCCGTACGACAACCTCGGAGGAGGAGCTTGGGTGAGGAACTTTGCCCACTACGAYGTTCAGAGCATCCTGTTCGACCTGACGGAGGTGGCCACGAACAGAGACAGCATCGGGCGCAAAAAGAACATCACCTCCGGGGCCTCCGCTGCCTCCCAGCTCCGCCCCCTCTCCCAGTCCACCCCCTCCCTGCCCGCGCAGGGTGGGGGGAGCAACGGGACGAACGCCGACGACCCCGAGCAGTCGCTGCTGCTGGACGAAGGTGACGGCAACGACAACGAGCTCCTCCTCAGCTGTCCCCACTTCCGCAACGAGACGGGAGGAGAGGAGCAGGTGGGTCTGGGTGGATCCTCTGGCAGGAGGGGGCTCTGGTCCAGCCTCCGGACCCCCAACGATGCTGTTTCCGTCCTGGAGGAACCCAGAGAGAGTCACGTCCAGCTGCAGGGCAAGAGCAACTACTTCATAGAGCACGCYGATCTGGGAGCTCATTACTACCGCAAATACTTCTACATGAAAGGTACACATGTTTATTTAGACTCTGAAACAATTTCCAGCTCAGCAACAGAGAGTAAAAAAAAAGATTCTTATAAATTTAAGTTACTGAGTTTCAGCTGAAATGTTCTGTGTGAAACTGGACTTTAAATGGGTTAAAAGTTGTTCCAAAGGCAAGATGAAAGTTTGGAAATACACAAGTTTTTCAAATGTAGTGTTCAGATGAAATATTTTTTAAATTTTGCTCTACCTCAGTATTTAATACTCAAGGTTAAGCCATGCAAGCTAAATGTGGGCAGGTTTTTTTTTTCTTTAGCCTTAACTCTCCCAACTGAATTTTTACTGGACTGAGTTGAAAATTATTCTATCCATCTACAAAACCCTGAAACTGAGCAACGGCTGCAGAATATACAGKAATCATGTTGATAAATTAAAGCTGCAGGTTTGAAATTGTTCTTTTAGATTAGTAATGTAAAGTTATTTAATTTTGCATAACAAACAAGTCAGAAAATCTAGTAAACCAGTCTTCAAAGCTAAAAAAAACAGCATTCATTTATCATAAAAAAGGAGTAATTGTTTAATAAGCAGTTATAAAAAAAATTGTTTTAACAAAAACATTTCTGCACATTTTAGTTTAAAATACTTAGTAATGGCTTTAAAATGAAGGTTAGTAATTCAGTAAGGTATTATCAAATTCTTAGATTTCATTTAAGTCTGTGTGAGACTTTATTGTGTTCAAACTCAATCTAATTCAATTTTAATATATTTGCACTACTTCCAGATTGTGCACAAAAAATAATCACGTCCATGTTATTGGATGTTAGTTAATTTTATTGTTTTATTTTGTATTTTAACTATTTAAGGGTTGCATTTTTATTTTGTTTGTGATCGATACAAACCTTTTTCCTAATACAGTTAGATACATATTCTTGAAAATAGAGTTCTGTAAGTTTTATTTTTTATTTAATAAAATGTAACACACTGAGTTTTGTGTGAGCTCCATAATGAGCCTCATATTTTAAGTCTGGACAGTTTTAATTTTCTCGCCCAGTGGGAGACCTGCTTAGTTGCACCTCTCATTATTATTTCTGCGATTTTTATTACAGAACACCAGAATTTCTTTGGGATCGACGATCGCCTCGGTCCAGTGGCCATCAGCTTCCGACGAGAGGAGAAAGAAGGGTCCAGCGGCGCTCAGTACAACTACAGAATCATCTTTCGCACCACAGAGGTACACGTTTCTTTTTTCTTCTTTTCGTGCTCTTCAGTTTCAGAATSTGTGAAAATAATTGGACCTTTGGGTGGTCTGACGCTGGGCGAACCCTCTCCTCAGATGAAGACTCTGCGAGGTTCCATCTTGGAGGAGTCGGTGCCCTCTGCCGCTCGCCACACCACCCCCCGAGGTCTGTCCCCCAAACGGCTGCTGGAGTTCATCATGCCTGAACTCAACCTGCACTGCCTTCGCTTGGCCTCCAACTCCCCGAAGGTCCGGGACACCCTGCTCAAGCTGGATGAACAGGGGGTGAGTAACGGCGCAACTCTGAGGCTGGACACCAAAACWGAGTCAAATAATATCAGATAGATTTATTAAATTTATTACTTTAAAGGGATAGCCTACATTGTTTCATGTGGAGTTCAGTGGAAAAGTTATGAACAGTTAATATCTTACCTGCTGTTGATCAGCCTCAGTTTTGAAAAATGAGTTTAATTAGCGCAGCTAATTTAGCATTACATGATTATTTACGTAAAAGTCTATGACTATTTTAATATTTCTGCAAGAATAGTTGTGTAATGTAAAACTGGCAGCAATGCATATTTAAAAAATAGTGTTTGCTTAAAACAGTAAAACGTTTGAGATTGAAAATAATTTAAGATAGCTGCACTTTAATGTTGGCTCCACTCAGATTTACCATTAACTCATCAATACACTCAGAAATAAACATTTATTTTATTCAAACTGAGGTCAAAGAGCTACCTACAGCAGATAAGAAATTAATTAGTCATAAGCTTTCCATAGAACCCCACTTTAAAACACCAGAATTTAACTTAATTTTGATTAAAGCTACTTATTTTCAATAAAACTTGAGTCAGGTTTTGTTTTATTCATTTTTTAGTTGTCTGTTAATTTTCAAAATAAAAGTAAAAATTCAAAAAAGTCTTGTATTGTTCTGTAAAACAGTATTGAAAATCAAGCAAATAAAAGGACAAAAGGACAGAAAATTTTAAATAATGAGTYTGAAATTATTGAAATTTGAGACCAWTTGTCCMAAAAGTCAAAATGCATTTCATCTGGTTTTAAAAACCTTTGATTTACAGCTCATTATCATTTTTATTGCAGAAGTTGTAAACTAGTTTGTTGTTCTCACTGAACTGTCAGCAGCTTTCACCTTTTGTGGTTAACTTGTTGAAAAAAAAGTTTGATTTTCGATATTACACCCCTACTTGATACGCAAATATCAAAAAGCAGAGGGGTATAGTAACTAAGTAATAAAAAGTATTTTTAATCATAACTTTTTCTTTTATTTTGTTCCATTCAAAACTTAAAAATATTTTTACTTATTTACTTTAAAATTTAACACCTAGTTATAAGTTTAAATATAACAAGAACTCATCATGAAAACAGTTGTTTATGCACAAAAAATGTCAATTTAACCAAGTTATGTCTTACATTTACTTTCCTGATTGTTGTAAGCAGTTTTATGACTTACTTAAAACTTTTCTTATCAGTGAAAATGTTTTTTTAAACTTTATTTAATTATTTGTCCATTCTGTGCAGCTGAATTTCCAGAGGAAGGTTGGTGTGATGTACTGCCGCGCCGGGCAGAGCTCGGAGGAAGACATGTACAACAACGAGAGCTCCGGGCCGGCGTTCGAAGAGTTCCTGGATCTGCTGGGAGAGCGGGTGCGACTGAAGGGCTGGGAGAAATACCGAGCTCAGCTGGATAACAAGAGTGAGCTGAAAACACACGCCCTGCACCCGACTCGATTAGCTGCATCACGCTTTGTCGCAGTGCCGTTATCCGAAGGGCATCAGTGTGTCTGTGAAAGCCTGAGATAACGGTTATCTGGCCACATGTAATCTGAGTAATGCCTGCAAAATGGCATAGTCACTGCTGATTATCTCCGAGCTGCTTCCTTCACTGGGACAGATTTCAGTCTGGCTCAATCTGTGCTCAGCTTCCAATTCAGAGATGATCTTTAAATTTGTTGTTATTTTTGTGTGTGTGTGATGTTATTATGGATTTGCAGCGGACTCCACTGGAACACATTCCCTCTACACTCGCTACCAGGACTACGAGATTATGTTCCACGTGTCAACAATGCTCCCCTATACCTCCAACAACACGCAGCAGGTAAAACAAACCTAACAGAYGCGACAAATGGGTTCGTTTTCCTGCTCTCTGTGTTGCAAAATCACTTTCAAAACTATGTCAAACTCTTTGTTTTCACTAAAAGTCTTTAACAAAGTTGCATCAGTTTRTGTAACCTTTGTTCCACCTGTCTGTTCAGACTCAGATGCTTTGTCAAAACTTTAGAAAAAGCTTCTGTACTCAGAAATAAGCATGACATAAAAAATAAATCCTACCTCGCAGTTTTCACTCCCACCTTCACGGTTTTCACTGTTGCCTCACAGTCTTCTTCCTGTTCAGCTGGCTGTGCAGTCTGTGGTTTCAGCCTGTTTGCTGTCATTTGGGAGGAAATTGAAACAACTCACTGACAAAGATTCAAGGCTAAAATGAAATCTAAAAGGCTACAGCTTCAAAACTTCTCAAAAGATGTTTAAAAAAATCTACTTCAAAAATATTATTAGTCATAAAAACTAGTTTCATAAAGAATTGTGATTTTTATTATTATTTTTTTGTAAGTAGATAGATTACACCTTTTTTCAGGTTGACAGTTTCCTTATACCTAATTAAAATGTCTGAGTGATTTTAAACTAGTACCAAAGCTCTCTCTTTGTATTTTCATCCCATTGATTGCAGTCATGTTCAGGAAGTACACAGAGCCACTCAACCCTACTTCTCTTTCCACTGAGAGCTGTTTCTCTTAATAGATCATTCCTACAACTTTCAGCTGCCATTGAAAGCCCAATCTTTTGACACAAATTACATCAAAGTGTGTTTTTGCCATATAATAGAGCATTTGCCTCAAGTTCAAGAATCTTTATTATCCCAGAGAGACAATTTGTTTCACAGTTAGCAGACATGGGAGCACTAAAATAACAGTACAAAATAAAAAACCACCAATGTTTGTTAGGAAGTCTAATTGCTGCAGTGATTAATTCATTTTTACTCTATGTCCCTTTTCCACTAGCGTCTCTACAGCACAGTTCGACTTGGCTCTCTATGTTCCGAGGCTTTTCCACTAGCAAGGATTCGTGGAACCAGACCCTTTTTTTTAAGCTTAGTTCAGTGTGGTTCCAAGTGTACCATGTTTGCCTGAAAACGTAATGTTACAAGACTGTTGGTCACTGATTGGTTAGAGGGTGGAGTCACAAGAGCTACTCACACAACAACCTGATCTGCCATTTGCACTAACAATGCTAGCATGTCCTCCATTGTTGCATGTCTTTTTGGGGTCTTCTTCTTCTACTATGTTTAATGGTGGCTGACAAATAGCTTAATGGAACATAACCGCCACCAGCTGGTAAGGTGTGTGCCGTCAATTTTCAGACTCTGGGACCGCCTAGGGCTGCCAYGATTAGTYGATTAGTCGACGACTAATCGATTGTTTTTTTTGTACTGTACTTTTTTTCTCTCTCCAAACTGCTTTGACACCTTCCACTGCCACATCTRCCTTTCTGTCCTTGACACACATGCACAGTAGTGGTAACTGGGGTAGGCCGTGGACGTCACAAGACATTATACAGACAGGCTCTGGTATCATGGCTACCTGGCAACGGAGCTCAAAAGTGTGGGATCATTTTAAGAAAATGAAAGAGAAACCTGTGTAATATCTGCAGAGCAGAACTTACCTTCCACAGCAATTGTTTTTAGTTAGCATATAGCTAAAATCTAACAATGGTTATATAATAGCAGCTGCATTCTGGCACGATAAGTTATGTTTTATATTCAATTAAAATATGATCCAATTAGTCGACTAATCAAAAAAATAATCGGATTAATCTATTATAAAAATAATCGTTTGTGGCAGTCCTAGGACCACCCAACTTTAACATAAACCCACCCACTAGAGCTGTTACTGAATTACTATAGAAAACCACCCGATTTGTGTTGAACAGCCTAGAATTCCTTGATAAAATGCATTTTGCCTGCAGCATAGCCATCAAAATATGTGTTGTAGATTAATCTCTACAGCCACACCAAATTTTAGCTTAGTATCTGTGAAACTGACTTGTAGCTGTTTTTGTGTTGGCTAATGCTTATTAACTGTGGCTGGCATATTGAAAGGAGATGTTCTGTCAAGTTTAAACCTAAAATGTAGGTGTATGTTGCTMGATGATTTCTTTGTTTTTATTCTAATATGTTAGTTTATTTCACRTCCCTTTGTGTTTGTGTTTCATCTCAGCTGCTGAGGAAACGACACATCGGTAACGACATCGTGACAATCGTGTTCCAGGAGCCGGGCGCTCTGCCCTTCACCCCCAAGTCCATCCGTTCCCATTTTCAGCACGTCTTCATCATTATTCAGGTCCACGAGCCMGGCACTGAAAACACACATTACAGGTCTGTATTGATTGTATCGTYTCATGCAACAAGTCGCACGTATTTAGGTGTTTTTGTAGAAGTTAAACTGAAGCATGAAGGCAACATAAAATAAGATGTGAAAATGTTTTGTTCCAGTGCAGGTAGATAGTTTAAAGGCAAAATCCATTTTTTTAAGCTGGTAAATATATTTTGTTGTGTACTTGGAGTCTCTCCTGGTGCTGCGTAGATATCTTTATATACTGTTTGGGTCATATTTTCCAACCTGTTCAGTTTTCTCTATTTTCGATTTCTGAACTGAATCAAGTAATTTTTACAGAACAGCTAAATATAGTTTAAACTTACATCTGCAATTTGATCATCTTCATTCTCCTCTGGCTCTTTTAGTTTGTAAATAAAAGTCATAAACCTCTCTATCAAATTAGAATCAACCGCTCTGGAAGCTGGAGGGGGTGAAGCTCTTCATTTGGTTTTAAAGAGACAGCCTCAAAACGAGTTGATCTGAAACTCACCTCAGAAATGGGGTAAAAAAGGGGCTTGTGGAGTTACAATCCACAAACCAAAGCATTGCAGTTCCACTTTATATAGACCCCAACTGAATGATTTAAATGCGAGAAGGATTTAAATGCATCAAATGTCTCTACTGTAGGGGTTACAACCACATACCAAAGACTGTATAACCCTGCTGCTGAAAACAAGACAGAAATTGAACATTTCTGCTCTGCCTCTGCCTCTTTTTCWCCTTTCCTCTCAGGGTGGCTGTGACACGCTCTAAAGACATCCCATTATTTGGTCCTCTGTTCCCAAAGGGTGCGCGCTTCCCTCGGTCGGCCGCCTTCAGGGACTTCCTCCTGGCGAAGGTGGTGAACGCCGAAAACGCCGCGGAGAAGTCCGAGAAGTTCCGCTCCATGGCCACCCGCACGAGGCAGGAGTACCTGAAGGACCTGGCGGAGAACTACGTGACCACCACGCCCATCGACTCCTCCACCAAGTTCCCCCTGCTCTCTCTCGGCAGCAAGCGGAAAGACAAGCTGAAGGGCGCCAAAGGAGCCGAGCTGCACAGCGCCGGCGCGCTGGTGTGGGCTGTGGTGGTCAACAGAGAGGATGAGTGGGAGGCAGGAGAGCGCAAGCTGCCCTGCCTGCTGGGGGTGTCGGCGGAGTCGGTGGTGCTCATCGAGAGGTGCAGTCGCAGGGTGGTGTTTAACTGTTCCTGCCGGGACGTTATCGGTTGGAAGGTGGTCACAGAGTCGAAAGAGGGGGGGCCTTGCTTGGATATCTTCTATGAGCGTGGAGAGTCCGTGTCAATCAGCGTGTTAGAGAGCCAAGCAGAGGATCTTAAAGAGATGGTGCAAAGGCTTGAGGTAGGTGGGTGCACTCATGGTTGAAGTTCTGCATGGAGAGCCACGTCTGATCCTTTCATCCCGCAGCTCGTCACACGAGGCTGCGAGGCGCTGGAGGTCATCCCCCTGCGGGATGGAGTGGGGCAGCCCGGCTTCCTGATGAACGAGGAGGGCTTCGTGACAGAGCTGCAGAGGTTCTGCTACGCAGAGAGCGGCGGCCTGCAGCTCTGGGCCCGCGTGGTGAGGCTCTGCGGACACTCCCTGGTTCACCTGAGCTCCGAGGAGAGGACCAGGCTGCTCCGCACCGCGCACAAGATCCACATCACCGTCATCCCACCGGACGAGAACGGTAAACCTCGAAGGTAGGCGATATTCGAGTCAGGAGGACGACGGACGAGCGGGACAAGAGTCACTCAGAGGTCACGGCTCACTCTGCTGTTAATGACGGGCTGCGGTCCAGTTAATCCCTTATATTGATGTTTAATCACAGCGACAGCCTGCAACTTCACACTCAGCTGAAATCAGGGAAACAACAGAACCAGCTGTGGACTGAGCTGAACCTTCATTAATCTGGACACATCTGCTGCTCAAAACAGCAGAATTATCCTCAGAGAAACCCACAGATTTATTTATATTTCTGCCCTGAATGCCTCATTCTGTGGCAAAAAGCCCAAACCGTCACAATGATGTCATATTTTCTGGCAGAAAATGCTTTTTAAAGAATATTATGTATATTTYTTTAGTCTCATTTTGATTTTGTGACTGTTGTTTTCCCATTTGTTTTTATTTTCATACTTTGACTTTTTTATTTTATACAAATATTATCCACAAAGAAATACAAATACACTAAAATTTCTTTCAAATGTTATCTTTAAAATCTGCTTTATTTATTTGCTCTATTTTTATCTTGTTTTGATATTCCTAGTTTTTAGCTACTGTTCTACTATTTTTGTTTTAGATACCTTTTTRTTAAATTTTTTCTCATGTTTTACTACTTTTAGTTCAATCATTTTGCTTTTTTTAGCTACAATTTTGCTCCTTTTAGTTAGCATTCTATTTATTTTAGTGTGTAGCTAATTGTGTAGCTGTTTTTAAACTTAGCTAGCATAATGCTTTTTTTAGTTTTTAGTGTCATGGCTCCTTAAGCTGTTAGCTAATGTTTTGTTTCTTTTAGCATTTAGCTACTGTTTTGGTGTTTTTGTCTTTTAGCTAACATTCTTACCTCCTATAGCTACTGTTTTTTGTTTTTGTTTTGTTTTTTGCACCCAGCATTCAGCCTGCATTTCTACAGAAAAGGTTAATTTTTCTTGTTTATTTTTKTGTTTAATACACCTGTTCATACAAAGCATGCTTTGTTTTCGTGCTCTGCAGAAGTTTTGCAGAACTGTACCAGAAAGCCATCAAAGATGCAGAATGCAAGCCGGGCGAGAATCAGTCAGGAGAGGCCTGGGTGGTGGACGAGAGGGAAGACGGGCAGGAGGAAGAGGAGGAGCGGGCGATAGACGAAGAGCTAAAGACGGACGAGGTCGAAGAGGTGGAGCTCATGGAGGTGCAGCTGGAGACAGACGGCGGTGAAGAACYGACGTGTGATAAAGATCAGAACGAGGACACTTACACGCTCCTCATGCCGTCCGCTTTACCTTTACTGAGGGCCACGTCGCTGCAGGACCAACCGGCCAATCAGAGCCAGGAGAGCAGCGCCTCCCTGCTCCCCCGCAGCCTGTCTCTGGAGAGACAGCTGTCCTACACAGATACATGTGATGGGTGAGTGCTACTAAAGCTAACAATACCTCCACCATTTCACTAAACTAATGCAGAGATTTTAAACTTAAAAAATTATTGTTTATCACATAAAAAGCCTTCAGTTTACAAGTTTTTGATCTGAAAAGTAAAACATTACTTTCATTTTCATTCAAAACTGCCAACTTATAAAAAACTGGAGCTCAGTCTGTGTACCTCTTGGTTATTCTATTTGGTACCACTTTACAATAAGGTGCATCTTATAGATGGCTTATAAATACTTTATAGATAAGTTATTAATTCATCTGTAAACACTTTATAAATCATTAATAAGTGTTTATTATGCATTATTTAGGGATGAGAAAGAGACAAAACTGTCTGATTTCTTGCCAAACAGTAATCCAAATCTGTTCTTGTACATATTACATTTAAGGTGCTATATTAAATATTTCAGACCAGGTAATAATGAATTGGAAACACATATATTACATATAATATTGTACTGTAATATATATATCCACAATTATCAAAGGGAGCCTTATTGTAAAATGTAAGACTGTACACTATTTATAAGGCGCCCCTTATGACATTTATACACATTTATTAATCATTAATAGTGTACCTAYGGTAACCATGTGTTTCCAATACATTATTGTGTTTACAAGGTAGTAACCCAGTGTGAAATGTTTAATATAACACTTTATAATATATGAACAGATTTTGATCACTATTTGGCATCAAACCAGACAGTTTTGTCTCTTTCTTGTTCTTAATTAATGCACATAAACACTTATTAATGATTTATAAAGTGTTTACAGATGAATTAATAACCTATCTATAAACTATTTATAATTTGTAATCTATAAACTATTTATTTCAATCTATAAGGGGAGCCTTATTGTAAAGTGGTGCCTTCTATTTTCATTTTATACTCCAAAAAATGGGAAATGGTCTGTCGTATTTTTGTCAAACCAGAAGTTTAACAGTCATTCTCAGACCGTTTAGAGCTAATTAAATAACTTTTTAATAACAGGTGGCTGCCTGTAAATAAATAAATAAATAAATAAATGCTTGGTAACTACATTTGTATTTCTTCAACCAACTACAGACTGTATTTTTTATTATTATCACTAGTCTAGCTAATGTCTTTTAAAAATCTATTTATTTAGCTCCACCTTAGATGTTCTGATGGGATGAATAACCATGTTTTACTTTATAACTAGCTAACTAAAGTGAAATTAACTACCAGGCAGCCACACTGAATACACTTTATCTAACTAGTTTGACATTTCTTCACCAGGTGTCAGTTTATCACAGATGTAAACTGTTTCCTGGAGCTTCTGGTGTTTTTAGCTCATGAAGCTTTTCTTCAGGAGGTTCATGGTGTGAAACTTAAAGCTGCAGCAGGTTCCACAGGACAGTGTTGAGTTGCCTTTCAGCAATGTTAAACCTTTGTTTGCAGAAAAATAAAAAGACAGTTTTTCTGTTTTTTTAGTATAAAATGCAAATAGAATATCCATCTAATTTTCGTTTTCAATATTTGTTTTTAAAACAAAAACTAATGACCAAAAAGTACCTAGATTTCCCTTTTTTGTGACTTTTTAAATTAAATTAATTTTTTTATAAAGCCACAAAAGAAAGAACATTTGACGTTCTTTTAGTTTATCTCCTTTTTAAAAAAAAGTTATTAAATAATCAGGATGGTATGAGGAGTCTGATCAAATAAATAGTTTTTGTTTTGGACAAAATGCTTTAAAAATTGCCCAAACTCAAATATGTGTAACAGAACASTGCTTCTAACCGATGACGCATAAATGCTGCGCTTTTTTTTGTGTGTGTGTGACTGTTTGTGATCAGTTTACTTCCCTTTTACTGATAACACTTGTGTTCACTGCAAAACTTTTCTCAGCATGTTTTTTTAGCGATTTACTGAAAACAGCTTGTTATCAGTTTGCTCACAATTAAAGCAGAAGACTTTAAAACACTTTACAGGTCATGAGTTGTAGTTAAAACAACAAGAGGAAATGTGTGAATTTTATCTTATTATTTTAGTTAAGTGAGTGAGTGCTTCGCTCTTACAGCATTTCACTGAATGACAGTAATACAGAAAACTGCTCTAAGCAAAGGTTTGCAGAGCATGACGGAACACATTTGAGGAAGTAGGAAGTCTGCAGCTTACAGTTCGGTTAGCTGAGCCTTCATCTGTGAACGATCAGGCACCTTTATGTGAAAATATGACAACATGAATGCAGATTTGTTCTCAATGGATTGTTTATCAGCGTAATAATTTACAGTGTGCTTTTACATTGATCCTGTTTTTGTAGGTAAACAGAAGTATTTTAGTTACAGCTGGTCATAAAGTGAGCTAATTTTTTTATTTAAAGACTAACTACAACAGGAGACAAAAACTGTGCAGATTTTGTTTTCTACATTGTAAATTTTATTTTGTGTTCCTGTTTTTGGTTTTGACCCCTTGATTAGCTCAAAATGTTTTATATTTTTTTGTTACCCCGTTAACATCTCCCTCCCTGCCTTCCTGATGGACAGACACATGTATGACAACGTGGGGTTGAAACTGGACCCCCACGTCTACGAGAACGTCAGGGAGCTGAAGGACGCCACGCCCGATCTGATTCTGGCTGTCAAACCCAAGGTTCCTGTGGAGGACGAGCAGGTGACACCCCTCCCCCACAAAAAAAAGAAAAAAAAAACACCACACACAGACGCCTGTGTGACTTTTCCTCTGCGTTGTTTCCTCTTTAATCTCTGTTTCTGTCCTGTAGTTCAGAGGCGCCGAGTTTGATGACGACAGAGCTTCAGCGAGTGACTTGTCTCTCTCGTCTTCCCGGCTGTCAAGTGTCGACCGAGCTGAAAGAAACTCACGAGCCCTGAGTCTTCATAACTCCATCACCAAAAGTAAGAGCTCTTTTACACAGTTTCAGATGAATATTTGTACATTTATATGGTTTTAAGTGTATTTACGCTGTTCGGTTCTGTTCAAATGGACAGAGGAAGAAAAGGAAAACATTTTGTTGTAAGGTCATAGGAATCATTTGACCCTGATTATGAGTTCAACACAGCAGCTGGCACTGTTGCTCAAATGATACCAGAACAGGACGGCTATACATGTTGGCAAATCTGCCTAAAATGATCAACAAATWTCCAAGCTTTTTCTTTCCCTAAATCCCCTCTTTTTATTATCCGCCAGTCGTCTCTGCTCTTTGTTCTTTTTCTTTCACGCAGACTGCCGCTGAATGCGCTAATCTAATATCGCCCCTGCTCTGCTGCCACCCCCTGCCAGGGATGGGATAAAAGGGGGGGACAGATGGGTAGTGGGAGGGGTGGAGCTGTAGGCAGCCCCAAATCAAGGAACCCCTCTTCCACCATCTGCTCTGCCTCCGCTGAGGCTGAGAGACTCATCATTTAGCCACTAAAAGAGCGCGCTTGTTCTTCATCTCGTCAGWTTCCTCTGAGTTTTTGTGGGGGCGGTTTCTGAAATCTGGCGATTGTTTTTGGCTCTAGATTCTTTTTACAGAAAATCTGCAGCACTTAATGAATAAAATCATGTTTTTGTCACTAAATTCCTCAATTGAAGGATTTTAATAAGTTTTTAAAAGTCAAACAATTATGCAACTTATGTAAAAATCACTGCTTTGATTGATTTTCATCCACTACATCTAAACTGTTGACGCAATTTAAAGAAAAAAAATTTAAATATGTACACCAGATAGCAAAGCCCATCCATGATTTCACTTCCTGTGCTGCAGGCTGTGCTCATGTTTGACACAGCAGCTTCACCCAGTGGAGACTCTTTGTCAGTGCAGGACCAGACTTTTAGCCCCTCTGCAGTGAAACCCTGCAGAAACACAGAGGCACCGTGTGTCGTGGCAGAATAATACAGCTGAAGCTCTTTCTTGCAGTTCTCTCTGAGACCACAGATTCGACCGAGGAGGAGTGGCAGTCCATCGCTGACCTGGCGACGGCGTGCCGCAGCATCCTGGAGGCTCTGTCACGAGAGGGTGAGGACCGTTCACACACCTCTCATTCTGTTTTCACTGTAAATAAGCGCAGCTGGTTGGGACAAACTTTAACTCAAAGAGAAATGTTTCACTAATCTAACATTAAAATTTAATATTTTTATGTATTGATTAAAATATTGGCCCTCTGTTGTACAACCTCAGTTCCAAAGAAGTTGGGATGTTGTGTAAAAATAAAATCAGAATATGATGATTTGAAAATCCTTTTCAACCTATATTCCATTGAATACACTACAAATATTCTTTCCGTTTTTATTTATGTTTTACACAAAGTCCCAACTTCACTAGAATCAGGGTTGTATAAACAGTGTAAAACCTTTAAACCATGCCTAAATTCTTTACCATTTACAGCCAATGAGCCAGACATTTCTAGACTTTTAAAAAATATCATGATTAGTAGTTTTCCAGACTTCATGAAAATATTTTAAAGTTTTTCTTTGGATTTTGGATAGCTTTTTACTAATTTTCTGTYCAWTCTCCGTACCTGATATTCACAGTGTTGTGTGTAGTGTTGGTTTAAAAAAAGAAAAAATTGAAATAGTGGGGTACAACATTTTAAGTGACAGACCTAAAAATCAAATAAAAATCACTACAGCAGATGAACATTAAGGAAGTATTTCAGCTAACAGTTGAAATAACGTTTTTGAAAATCACTGTTGGTGCTAAAATATGATTTTATTTGATACTGTGATAGCTGTAGTGTTTTTTCATTAATTTGACTAAAGAAATTGGAAAAAAATGTATTTTTTGGCAGGTTGAAATGCCTTAAGATCCAAATTAAAAATGTTTTCTTTTTCTAAGTTGTCTGTTTTATGTCAACCCGACACAGGTTCATCTTTTGATTCTTCAAGGTTTTTCTACCTAAATGAGTCAAATATCAAAGTTAATTGGCTTAAAAACTAATACATCATTGTTCTGAAAAATGAGTAAAAATGAATGACAAAGAGAACAAACTTTAAACAGGTGTGTCAAAATATTGATCAAGCCCGTTTTAAAAGATTACAAGGAYGTCTGGCTTTTTGGAAGTAAACACAAAGAAACAAGGGATGGTTCAAGACTTTTGCACAGTTCTCTTCTCGTTCCTGATTATGTTTCTCCTCACAGACCGGAAAGCTGGCGATCCCTCTCAGGCAGGAACGGATCAGACTGATGGCAAGCTGAAGGACTTGAAGGACAGGTGAGTTCCAGTAAAGCTGGAGCCGTTCAGTCAGCTTCTCGTTTCTCTTTGTTCTTCGTCGACTCTGAAAGGTCCACCCCGTTGTTCCGCCACAGTTCTTTGGACCTCACTGGTTCCGTCCTGCTGTTTGAATCAAAGTGATGCCCTTCCTTTGTCAGCGGCCCGTCTGACTCATCGCCGTCGTTCTGTATCTCTCCAGCTCTGATCGATTTTATTTTGTCTTTGAATTTCTTTTTTAGCTCTTTGGTTGCCTTCGTCTCTTTTCATGTAAATGACTCATTGTGCAGAACAGCCCCCCCCCCCCCACACACACACACACACACACGCACACACACAATTTTCCTCTTCACATAAAATCCACTCGCATCACATCCATCTGAGCTCAAAAGATCAACACAAATCTCTGCAAAATATATATATATATTTAGTTTATTCTGGTGAAAGATAATATATATACTGGTTTCTTAAGGTCCAAACGTTTGTTTATTTATTGTATTACTGAAATGATTTTATTACTACAACTGATTAACTTTTAAACTCAACCCTAATTGAGATGGCTGCAACAAAATCATACATATAAACAGCTAAAACTCTTCCAGTTTAGCAAATATTGATTTAATGTTTGTTGTCATTGTGCTACGAGCACTACATTTAATGCTTTATGTCTTACTTAAACCACCCTGACTCTCTGTTAGCAAAACATCTTTGAAACAACTGGACAGATTTTGATAAAACTCTCAAAGTAATTACTGGTTCTACATCTACAACTGATTAACTTTTGGAGTCAGTCCAATTCAAGATGGCCGCCACAGTTAGTAGACGTTACTCAACACAAAAATGGCTACAATGCCATCGGTTTTACAGATGTTGAGCTAAAATGTGGCGTGGTAGCTGGGAGTCATTCACAACAAATACTCTGAGTGCTAACACATCGTCAGGATATCTGAGAAGGGGGTCTCTGCCGTCACTAAGTGGGAGTTTCTTGTTTTGTGGATGGAGTTTGTCCAAGACGTGACTGGGGGGACGTGTCTGTCAAAACAGCCAGAAAGCACCAATATTTTTAAAAAAAAATATCAATTTTAGTCATAACTCAAGACAGGAAGGTGCTAGTTGCACCAAATTAGAAGTTAATAAAATATATTTACATGTTCACAATGATTTTACTATTACATTACTTTGCATCTTTTAACTTGTCCCACAAGACACCTCCACTCACACAGACAAGAGACTCTCATCTCATAATATCGCATGAGACGTCATTATTAAGTTTGACCAAAATGACTGTAATTTTGCCCCCTTTTTTTTTTTTTTTGCATAAATTGGTTTTAGTTTTAAATTCTGGTGGGCATTCCTTCAAGGAGTGCAAGACCTTTAAGTCTTTATGTATTTGTAGGTCATTGCTTCTGCAGTCTGCGGTGTGGAGTCATTATTTATAACTGCAGTCTGGAGAAATGCAGCTCAGGAGGAGAGCAATCACTAAGAGTGGCATTGCTTGTCAGACATGGCAATTACTGTAAATTAATCTCCGCGTGTTCCGGGTTTCATTCAAGGTAGTGTGGACAAATTCTTGACAACWATCAGACTAATTGGAAAAAGTTAAAGAGGGTGTGTTATTACGGAGAACTTTGTCTTCCTTCAGAACGGTTTCATTAATGTGATTGGTGTGGAGTGAAACGGCCTCGCTCGGCCCTTTGGTTTCCACCCACATGTTCRGCGACGGCCGCAGAGAGAACCTCGGCTCATAAAACACCCCTGTGTTTCTCCGCTGCAGCGACTCTCCCGGCCACCTGGAGGAGAAGGTGTCGCAGCTGGAGTCCATGCTGAAGAAGCTGCAAGACGACCTGCAAAAGGTGCTTTGACTTCCGTGAATGTTACTCCCTGTAAATATGTTTTCTAGCTCCTCTAGAAAGTCAGCAGGTAGGAAAAAAAAAACAACAAAAAACAAGTATTTACTTTGCTCAGCTTCCTTCGCCGGAGCGAGAAGGTTTCTATTTGCTGATGCAGCCGTGTGTTTACAAACTCTGCTGTCCACGCACCACCTCAGACCACTATAGAGATGTATAACCCCACCCCACCCCCCAAACACTTTGAAAAAAAAAAGAAGTTTATTTATTTATTGCTTTATGTACAGAAACAGTTGCAGATTTTTGTATTTTGCAGTACAGTTTGATTTTACATGTATTTATGAGAACTCCTGCTGTTATTTCTTTTATTTTTCCTGCACATTTTCACCAAACACAAATCTGTGTTGCTCTGTTTTATCCTTCCTGTCAATGCCTCCGAACAACTGTATGTGATGAACTCAAAGGCTTCTTTTGGACACTGAATGCAGCTGCCTTAAAAAAAACTATGATTCTCAGCACAAAGTCTGCTTGTTTTTCCCACAACCTTCAGTCTTGTTTTTTCATAGCCTTACTGAACAGATGGAGTTGCTCTGTCAGCCGCAGACAAGCGGACCGTGTGTTGAGAATAGATTGTTGCCAATACTGTCTGTGTGTGTTTGTGTGTGTGTGTGTGTGTGTGTCTATGTACGTAGAATGCATGATATTTCTCTCAACTTTGTGACGCATTTTCTATTTTGAAGTTCTTGATTAGTACTGTTACTAATTAGTTGCTCATCTCTTAACTTTAACTCAAKTTGAAAGACAACAAAACTCACTTTGACGTATTTATTTTACAAACTAGATTCCCTAAAACGAGGAGACCCTGTGTAGAACGTGACTAAAAATAAAACAAAATGTCAAACATTTTCAGTGAAAAATTCACATCTTTCTAGGAAATATCATTTTGATTCTGATGCCAGCATTATGTTGCCATATCAATGGGATGAGAGGAAAACTAAATAAAATAACATGAATATCGCACGAATTCGTTTGCAGTAGCTTGTTTGTGGGAATAAAAAGAAGAGAAGTAGTGATGTGACTGATTTATCTTGATAAAACATTTCATGCATGAATTTTAGGGATTTTAAAACTATGTTGAAAAAAAAGGTTGAGAAYTAAACTAAAGCAGTTGTTGCATCGAATCAGAAACGCTTGTGAAAATCGCCATCAGTGAATAAACTGTACCCACGTAGCAAAATTAGTCTGGCCCAGTTCTGCTCCATACAATTCACTAACATTTGATCCAGATACAACAAATAAACCTTTTACTGTATCCTGTTAATTTCTCTTTTAAGTGGTGTCACATTTGTAAGGAACATGCATTTCTGGGTTGAGCAACAGAGCTGAGTAAGTGAGTTGTACACGTGAAAAATTTGCCAAATCCTTTCTGTCAATCAGTTTGTTTTTCTGTTATTGACACTTGTTTTGAGCTTCTCACTGCAAAAACTGTCCATCTAACCAAGTTTTAAAACCTTATATCCAGCCAAAAAGTCTTTTTGATCTTGTTTTGAGACTGATTTACTAAACAAGAACTGATTGTGTAAGAATAATAATCTTGTTTTCAGAATGTGTAAGATTATTTGTCTTGTTAGTCTGAAAAATTTGACTCAAATTCAGTCAAAAATTTCTGCCAACGGAGTAAGAAAATTTTACTTGGTAAKATTCTTGAAATAAGAAAAAAAAATTGAGTCAAATCAAGTATTTCAAGAATCTTACCAAGTCAATTTTTCTTACTCCATTGGCAGAAATTTATGACTAAATTTGAGTCAAATTTTCAGGCTAACAAGACAAATAATCTTACACATTCTGAAAACAAGATTATTTTTCTTACACATTCAGTTCTTGTTTAGTAAATCAGTCTGAAAACAAGATCAAAAAGAATTTTTGGCTGAATATAAGGYTTTAAAACTTGGTTAGATGGACATTTTTTGCAATGCAGGTGCTTCTATAAGATTTATTACCAAGAAGCATTGTTACAACAAATAAATAATCTACCAAACACACATTTACTTACTTTTTGTGCCAAGTGAAACCATTTAGAGAAAATATCTGCAAGGAGTCCATAATAGTTGAGGGTAATCTGGTGTTTTTTATGAGTTAGTGACAAACATGGAGCCGTTCTCTAACACCTCCATCCATACAGGTTTTGTTGCAACATATAAGCAGATATTTTTATATTCTTTCTTACTACAGCGAAACACTATTTTTATAAACATTTACATCTCCACTTTCATACTAATTGTTCACAACATACCTAGTTTATCTAAATCCTTGTTCCATTGTTTTCAAACTTTGCTGGCATCATATTAAAATGAAATTAACTTTTTGATAAATGATCTAATGTTTTACCCTTTAAGGTCTATTAGAGCTGAATTTCAGAAATCATTTAAAGTTTTTTTAATCCCTGTTTTATTCTTACTTACCTTTTACACAGTGCTCCATCTTCAAATGTGACGATTTGCTGCTTTTCTCTGTTTTATAACAAAGAACCTGAAGATATCACCTTGGACTTTGAAAACTTGTCATTGTGTTTCTATCGATTTTTTTTTACATTTTATCAATGAAAAAATGAAAATAGTCATTAAACTGTTCAGTCACAACAATAATCGTTAGTCGCAGCCTTACTTGCTTTGTAACTGATAAAGGTGACCATCAGCCCTTAAAGCAGTGATTTTAATAAACTATATGCAACAGTAAAAATCAGCAAATGTTTGATTGTTTTCAGCCGATATATTTGAAGCGAACACATGCTCAGTTTTATTTTAAAAGTGCAGATTTGTGTGCAGTTTTTTGGGGTTGTGACGTTGTTCTCCCTGTGCTGCTGTGCGTCTCTCCGCTCTGGTTGTCACGTCTCCCTCTCGCACGCCGCGTCCACGCGTCGCCTTGTACCTGTCGCGCCTCCTCTCGTTCCTGCCACAGCAAATCTGAGCGACCGCTTTTGTTCTCTGTTGTGTGCCGATGTTTTGCAGGAGAAGGAGGACAAGGCGGTGCTGCAAGCCGAGGTGCAGAGCCTCAGGCAGAACAACCAGCGGCTGCAGGAGGAGTCGCAGAGCACAGTGGCCCGGCTCATCAAAGTCACTGAGCTGCTATGCAACGTCAACAAGCCCTGTTAGCCTCCCTGCTGCAAAACCCACGCAAACCGTCCAGTGCACTTCAACAGCCCCTAATTCTGATCGAAAGTAACACGATTACCACTCTCTGCTGAAGCAGGGAACCTTCCAGCTGGATGTAAAAGTCCAAAAAGAGAGAGAGAATAAAAAGATACAATCAGCATCCCTTGATTCACAGACAGACCAGCACAGGCGGCTGTCTTGGTGCGCTGTGCCAGAGTTCTTCACTGGTGTGTGTGTGTGTGTGTGCGTGCGTGCGTGTGTGTGTGTGCGTGCTTCAGATACTTGAAAAGCTCTGCTGAGTAGCACTTACATAGAAAGTGGCAATTAATTCTGAGCGGCACTGTATAGCATGTTTTACGGTGTCTTACCATGAAATGACCAAAAGTGTACATATCTATATAAGACGATCCAGTATCAGCAGTAATATATGTGAGTAGTAATGCTTCTCTTCTCTGTCGGACATGTAGTTGCAGTTTCTGAGTGTGGTTTCGTGCTGTGGAAGGCTGGAATGTGTAAAACGAAATATTAAATAAAAAGTTAMGTGACATTTACGAGCCTGTGGGCAGCCTTCTACTTGAAACGATGTAACGATGCTTACTGACTCGCCTCCGAGCGAGGTCTGTGATGTAAAAAAAACAAAAAAAACGTCTTTCTCTTCTCTCTTCAGTAGTACTGTATTTAAATGATGTCTTTAGGAAGAGACGACGGGGGAAAACAGGCGAGAAAAGGTCAAAAATGAACTCTTGGACATATGTTTAAAAAAATGGGGACCGTGGGGGGAAAAGGTTATACCTCTCCTGAAGACGCAGACTCTGGCAGGAAAGAACTGCTTCCTTCCACGACTGCCTGTAGCTGTTATCTTCTAACCTCATTACTGTAGCAGCCATATACTGTAGAAGATCTCCTCCTGCTGGTCTGAACCACTGAACGCCAAAACAGGCAAACTWTATTTTATTTTTATCAGCTGGCAAAATAGCTTTAGGTGTGTTGGAGGAAAAAAAAAGCAACTGGAAGTGGTGTTGAAATGCAGAATATTGTATTTAAAGATGTTTATGTCTTTGGCTTGAGAGTTATGTGTTATTCTTGCACCTTTTTTTTTKWTTTGTTTTGTTAAACYTCCACACAATTAAGGCACACTGGACACTTGGACAGTCTCTCCCCCTCAGTGCGAACGGACAAAGGCCTGCTGATGACAAACTGCTCRCCTGAACGGGCAGACGCCAAACGTCACTCAAACTCTGCCGTTTTTCTTGTACAAACTTCCTCCTGTAATTTTATTTTAGAGTCACTGTGAATAACTGGTACCAGCATTAAAACAACAACAAAAGATTAAATTGTGTGAAGATACTGCTGAGTTGTTTTACGGTGGTGTGTTTCTTTCTTTCTCCTTGTTTCGGCTCCACGTTTTCAAAAATAATCTGCCATAATTTGGGCGTCACATGCTTCATGACCTAACGTGGAGGTGCAAGAGTCTAAACCTGGTCACATGTAAAGTCTATACAGATGTTTGACAAATACCCACAAAGCAGATTATACTAAGACGTTTGTTTAGCTGACTTTGAAATATGATGGAGTGGTTGTGGAGGATGTTTGTCATTCTTAGGTTAGTTAGAGAGAAAATGGTGTCTGGAGGATTTGTGTGGATTATTAAGAAACAAAACAATTGAAGTTAAAAAGAAAAAAGTTCAAACAAAGTACTGATTTTCTGTCTTTGATTTCGAGAGATTGAGATGAAAACGCTGTCATCATCCAGGAGCTGGACCCGTGGACTCGGCGTCCGCGGGCCGGCCTCCTCCGTGCAGCGGCTGAAGTAAACCAGAGCTGTAAGCAGCCCTCTGGAGAGGGAGAAMGGTCTCTGAAAGTGGCGAGATGATTGGGGTCAGAGGTCACGGCTAAATCCGATTTGCTGAAAAGCAACGGAACATAAAAGTCAGTTGTGGCTGTAAGACGAAAGCACGAAGAAATATGCAGAATCACAAACTCACAGCAGWCTCCCAGAGCCCTGAAACACAAGGTTGTGGTGTATTTTAGTAAAAGGTGAATAAAATAAACATTTAGTTGTGTTTTTACCTGTTTTTTTTTTCCATCTAAACACAGAAGGCTGCAGCTCAAAGATAAGAACGGCTGAAATGATGTGAGATGAAATTGAGGTAAAATTTGTAGTGGAAATTATTTATCAATGACGTGAGTTAGAACCTTTTTAATAAAGAGTCGAGCTGTCTTTGCCAATTTATTTCCACAAGTCTGAAGGAATGAACCCCGAACACATTTATAYCCTCAAAGAGCAGACACTTTATCACATACAGAGATCACAGAAGAGTATTGAAACAATGTGTTATGATGAAACCAAAGCAGRACTGTTTGGTAGAAACACAACTCATCATGTTTGGAGGAGAGTAAATGCTGAGTTGCATCAAATGAACRCCATACCTGAAGCATGGAGGTGGTAACATCATGCTTTGGGGCTGCTTCTCTGCAAAAGGACCAGAACCACTGATCCGTGTACATGAAAGAATGAATGGGAGCGTGTATCGTGAGGTTTTGAGTGCAAACCTCCTTCCATCAGCAATTATAGAAGATGAAACATGACTGGGTCTTTCAGCATGGCCATGATCCCGAGCACACCACCAGGGCAACGGAGTGGCTTCGTAAGAAGCGTGTCAAAGTCCTGGAGTGGCCTAGCTAGTCTCCAGATCTCAACCCTGTTGAAAGTCCATGCTGCCCAGTGACAGCCTCAAAACATCACTGATCCAGAGGAGATCTGCGTGGAGGAATGGGCCGACGTACCAGCAACAGTGTGTGTCAAAGACCTTTGTTTGACCGCTGTCGTTCCCAACAAAGGATAAATAGCAAAGTATTGAGATTAACTTTTGTTTTTGAATAAATACTTATTTTCCACCATAATTTGAAAATAATTTCTTTAAAAAAATCAAACAATGTGATTTTATAGATGTTTTCTCATTTTGTCTCTCATAGTTGATGTCTAATTATGATTAGACAAGCCTCAAGTGGGAGAACTTGAACAATTGGTGGCTGACTATACTTTTTTCCTCACTGTGCCAAATGAAGGGCATAGTTTAATACAAATTATTCTCCATAAACTGATGTTAAATCTTTGAGATTTGGTTTTCTGTCCCACCGGCTGCTTATCTAAAGTTACCCAGGTGTAATTCTGTCCCCTGAACTGAATCCTGGCTTCTTTGAATGACAGGATTTAAACATTTATCTGTTTCCTCAGCATCAAAATGCATAAATGTCCTACATCTATAATCTTTGGCGCAATGAACAATTTTAAATCAATATATTGATGGAAATAAAAACAATTTGTTTTTTGTTATTTGTATAAATTTAGTTGAACTAAAAACTTGCTGAGACAGAAAGTAGAAAACAAAAAACCAGTGAACAAACAACACTGCCATACTTCAGGTTTTATCGCTGACACATCCAGTAGTATCTCCAGTCACATTCTTGGACTCTATAAACAACATGTTTGGACCCAGAGAAAAGTCTTTGTGAGCTTAAAGGTTACAAATCTTCAGTAGCTCATAAACAGTTTTTTTCTCTCCTCAGTACTGAGAGTAAAATCTGGTAATTAATGAGCCAGTGC